AATAATTGCATTTTTCTTAATAAATTACTTTTTTTTTTTTATAGTGTTGCATGAGGAAGGGTGCTGGAAAAATAATATGCACCTGAGAGATCAAAAAATGAATATTGGTAGAAACAGTGTGATGTGGTATGCAGACCACTCTGTAAAAATTAGCCATTACTTATTTGTCAGAAGTTATCTTAACACATTGGCTAATGAAGCTGCGATGGGAAAAGGTAGAGAAACAGATTATCTGATTAGCTAGGTATGGATATAATTCCTTGCTGCAGAACCTACTAAGCAAGTTTTAGTACACGTGCTCTCAGAACTTTGACTCTGAAATTCGCATGTTAAAAAAGAGACAAATATGAAAAATAAAAAAATTCAATAAATACACTTTGGAGGCAAAATTCTTCTTAGAATAGCAGTTCTGGTATTATTAATAAGTGATTACATCTTGGCAAGGGACAAATATATAGCAAAATCAATACTAATTGGTTTGGATCACTCAACAACATTAAACATGATGGACCGCAAATCCATGCTGGATTCCTGGTGGCTCTTCTGGGGTAGATATTTCTGTGCTTTGATTACTCCATGGTTTCCTTGGAACTTCTCAAAAAATAATCTGAAGAAAATGTGTAGTGGTTTGTTTCTTTTTTTGCTTGTTTGCTTTTTTTTTGTTTGTCTTGTTTTGTTGTTTTGTTTGGTTTTTTTTAACCTCAATTTTTTTATTTGGTATTCCCATTTACTTAAAGGCTCTTTGAGAAGGCAAAATTCTCTGTGCTCTGGCTGGCAGGTGTATTTCTTACCTTTCCTGATCTTGGGATGGTTCTGTCCGGCGTTTTGCAATGAGAAGTTGTTCATTGAATCGTTAGGGATGTTGATAGATTCCTAGAAGCAGTAAAGGACATAGAAAAGGTGGAAGATTTCTGGCCTTTCTGTAGATGTGGTTTGGAGCCCTTCTTTCTCTGTGGGACTGTCAGAGGTAGTTATAGTTCTCCCTGTTGATACCTGGACTCACAACTGTTCTTTTGTGTTGTTTTTTTGTTTTGCTAGGCTGTGTTTTCTGTATTTGGCTATACGTTACTTTCAACTGAAGAAAGCTTAGAAGATTTGACTAAGCGGGATGTGGGTGGTAGACTCATGTGAGTGCTGCTTGATTTGGTCCAGAACAGATTTGGCATGCGCATTTCCTCATGGATTAGTTGGGGTAAAAACTTTGACTTGTGAGGTTGTTTAGGAATGCTTCATTTTGAAAAATTGCACAGGGTGTCTAAATCATATGACAACATTTTACTTCCCTCATGGGATTACCAAGGTCTTGCTGGTTTAAAAGCTGTGAAATGGAAGTCCTTTGAAAATTATTAACAACATATTGAGCTCAATAAATCCTTATAAAAAAGACTTATGCATCTGTAAGCTTTACTCAAAGACTGACAGATGAGTCTTTGGTATCAATCATCATAATTCTACTGACACCAATGTTATGCTATTCTATGTAATCTGAAAGTCTGCCCTTCAGGATAAGGCTGGCATGGTGTGTTTGCTCCTTTTCCAAAGCATAGTTTTTCTGTTGTGAACACTAAATTATCTGTATGATTTTTTTTTTGTTAAATATTAATTTGTAGCAAAGCCTGTGAAAACCCTAGAATTTCAATTAGTGACACTGCTCTTGACAGTAATAGGCCAAGACCTACTCTACTAGGCATTGCACAAACTTGTAAGAAGGAGCTTGCAATTGAAAGAAGTTTACAATCCGATGCTAAGATGGGAGTAAACTGATGTTAATAGCATATTGAGGAGCCCAGAAAAACAGGGAGGCAAAGTACCTCATCCTGAAGCAGTGATCTCAGCACACAAAGAGGTTAGCTGTTGACATATTTTGTAAACATCAGGCAAGACTGTGCTTCAAGGAGTCATATAAGGGATGTCTTTTGTTGTCTTTTTTCCTAGCAGCAACAGAAATCATAGAAGGTGCTTACTTGAAAATCTAAGTGGAAAATAAAACTAGTACCTTGGGCTGGGTGGTAGTAAGATACAGCTACTGATATGGAGATGGTAGGGGAGGAGTAGGCTGCAAAGGGCTTTGAATTTCTGTTGGGTTTGAGAAGGCTCTTGTTTATTGAGACCTAGAAATAGTAGCTAGCTGAAATCAAGGGCTAAGTGTGCAAATACATTTATGAATCATATTTCTTTAAATCCAGCTAGCTCTGTTCAGTGATAAGAGTCAGGTAGGAACTTTTTCCATTTATTCTGCTTAAAGAGACCTACCTTCCAGATAACTTTAAGACATAATGTAGTGATTTGATGCTGAACATGATTAGAAGTATTGAAGCTTGTAGAGAAGGCCTCCCTCCCTTTTTCCCAGTTTAATAGATTAAATAAGGGATGTTTCAGCTCATGTTTGAAGGCTGTTATTCAGTGTTTGAAGTGCCAGTGCTATGTAGCTCTTACTGTAGGAAGTTCTTGCTGTGCTCTGACAGAGCTCAGATCTCACTCTTAAGGCATAAGGCAAAATCTGCTCCCCTGAGGTTTTTTCATCTTCCAAGTGTAGGCAGACTGAACTCTCACAAATACTTTCCACATTTTGGTGTATGTCAGCTTGCTCTGGAAATTTTCTGAGTGCACATTTATCACAAACAAAACAGCAATGAGATTTTTTAAAATAAATGACTGAACCAGTGCTTTATGAGGGCCATTTACGTTAGACAAGCACAGACTGATCTTATGCCAAAGCACTCTCTTTTGGCTCTTAGCAAAATAAAAGGTTCATATGTTTCAATATCTATGGTCTAGTTAAAGACATCAGGCTGAAATATGCTGGAGTTAGATATAGCCATTATATTTTCATGTGGGATCCATCAGTCAGAAAGTGCATGGGCTTCAGGAAATGAAATAATAAGCTTAGTAATGGTGGGAGCTTAGAGGGAGAATATGCTTAATGTAATTAGAAAGAGTTTCAATCAAGGAACAACTTCATCTGACAAGTGTTCTTCCACAGAGAAAGCACTTCCCATGAATGACTTTTGCTGCCCTGGCTTCTTGATCTTCATGCAAAATTAACTAAGACTCATCAAAATTTCATGCCCTGTAAACTAAGCCACTTCGGTTTTGTGTCACCCAGATGAAATATTGAAGTGTGACCACAGAACTTGCTAATAAACTGTAATTTTAAAAGAATGGGTGGGGAAACCTGTGGTGCTGAGGAAATAAAAAACAATTAAAAGCTATATATGAAAGTGGAACCACAAGAAGGAATTAAGCTTCCAAGGAATGATGAAGAAACTCAAGGAAATAATTGAAGGAGGGAATATCATTTTAACCTTTTAAAATATTAAAAAATTAATACACCTGAAATATCATCAGAAAAACAATCCTGTAAACAAATCTATATTCATGGGGCTCCATGTCTGTCTTCAGGGTGCTCTTCAGATGCGCAAAGCATCAATCTGGTGGCCTAAGGAGGACCTATGAGATGATGTGAGCTCAAGTTACAGGGAGAAGAATGCTGAAATTTCCAGATCCTTTTTTCCTTCTGGATTACATTTTGGATTATATATAATTTGTAACCTAGGATAACACTCAGGAAATGCTTCAAGAAATTATACTCTGAAAAGCCTGTTTGTAGCTGACACAAATCTATTTAGCAGGAATGTTTATCAGATTTACTTGTGTTCCTGCACAGCTGAAAGGTGTTGATAGTTGTAATACGGCTGCCAAGCTCCAAGCAGCTGCTTGTTGCTCTTGCAGTATGCATGGAATGGATGCTAGCTGGTGAAATGTAAATGACTGACTGATAGAATATCAGTTTTATTTATTTATTTATAAATGTGGATCTTTATGACTATATAATCCTGGAATTGTCTTTGAACAATGGTCCCAAACCATCAAATACTGCTGGTGCCCCACCTCTGTCACCTGGTGCCTTGCAGACAAATTCTGTTGAAAACCCACTGAAAAGCAAGTTATAAATTCCTAGCTGATGTTGTTAATTGTCATGTGGCATTTACAGTAGTGGATGTAAATCATTCATAATCCAATATCAAACTAAAAAGAGTAAATGAGTTTGCCTCTGTGGTTAAAAAGAATGAAGTATTGATTACCATAACAAATTAACAACTTGAAACCTGATCTATATCTTCTGAGTGCTGAGAGCTTTGAACTGGAACAGTCACGTATTACACATTAACCTCACAAGATTTAAAAGCAGTTGCGCTACAACAATAGCTAGTTATTATAAGAGTTCTGTAAAAATGATTTTAATGGCATTTACTGCAGAGCTAGAACAATTACCAACCTGCAATCAAACGAATAGCTTTTCATTAATTAAGATAGTTGAGCAAGACCCTGTTCTTACAGATTTGTTGTGAGAAACAATGATGGCAGGCACATGGGTGAGATGATGTGAGAAATGTATTTTCAATGACAGGCAGATGGGTGACAACATGAGCTATTGCAGGATGGTAAAGGGAGCTAAAAAGCAGTTGGTACTTCCAGAGGCGTCTACGCTGATACGGTTAGATGGTGACTTTTCATAGGATTGGATCTGCTCTATGGATTGGAAACTTACAGGGGAAATTAACCTACAAAATCTGTGTGTATGCTGGGGGAAGAAGTTAGGTTAAAGCCCCACTGATAAACCCTTTTAGGATGCTTCTATCTGCTTTGGATTTTCTTTCATTTCTTTCCCGCATGGTGATAAGTGAGATTTCACCAGCTAATATGACAAGATGACTGTGTGAAAGTGCACTAGTTTGAATCAATACCCATCTCTAGCCAGCAAGCTGCTTTCAGGACAGTACTTACAGTAATGCTAAGCTGCTAGGAGCCTGAAAACTACAAGAGAATGGGATGAATATTCATTCACATTTTTAAGGAACTTCTATTTGTCTGTACTCACACTTAGTCTGTGTCTTGTTTATGCAAATGTTTTTATAAAGTGGTTTGTTGGCAACTGTATTCATGGAAATTGAAAAATACAGCAAATATTGCAGATGATGATATATTTTTTTCAGATCCACAGCAGGGCTTGCAAGGAAAGCCAGGAATTACATTCATAGTCACGGAACAAAAATATATTGTTTAAGTATTCCGTAAACCAAAATGCTTTTAGCTGAAGATGCTCAGATCTTACAGGATACATTTTGTTGATAAAAATTCTCCACAGAGGCTACAGTGACTACCTTACACTGCAGAGATTGTGGTATGTTGCTGGACAATTTGAAAACAGAAAATAGCAGGTATGTTTGTGATGAAATGTTAAGCTGCTTTCTGAGTGATATAAATGATCTCTTTTTCTTGACTAGATATTGAAAGAAACAGCCAGTAGACCTACAAAGACAGGGAACCTCTCAGAAGCCAAAGGAGAGGCTTTTTACTTTTACAGGTGAAATGAAAGGCATTTTGCCCCTCCTTTCACTCTGCAGTGGTGAGCTTTCACCAGGAGAAGGGTAATCATTCTAGGTGTTTGAAGGCAAAAATTGAGGTTAGTATTTAGTCCATGAGGAGCAAAGGTACTGCTACCACTGACAAAACAGTTCCGGGGAACATGATGGGGTTGGGAAAGCTTGGAAATCCTCAGCTGGGTTGAATTTATCTCACTTTCCCGTGACAGATCTCCTGAACTCCTCATGTGGTCTGCTCTTCCTTGGGTGGAACATCTACTGCTAGAGTAAATTGTTGTCATATTGAAGTTGACAATCTGTGTTGATAATATTTCATATTATACGGACATTAAAATTACACAAACCTCATTGGGAACCCTTGAACATTTTGAAGACAGGACAAGGGGTAACAGGTTAAAACTTAAACAGGGGAAGTTCAGATTGGATTTAAGGACGATATTCTTTCCTGTTAGGGTGGTGAGGCACTGGAATGGGTTGCCCAGGGAGGCAGCATTCAAGACCAGGTTGGACGAGGCCTTGGGTGATATGATTTAGCGTAAGGTGTCCCTGCCCATGGCAGGGGGGTTGGAACTAGATGATCTTAAGGTCCTTTCCAACCCTAACGATTCTGTGATTCTATGATTCTATGATAATAGCATGCAGAGATCTAGGAACACCTGGGAAAGCTGCTGCTGTGGTTTTGAGAAACCTAAGTGCCCTGAAGTGTTATTTATTTAGTGACATATGACAAATTATTCTATGAGGGCTAGGTGATTGCAACTTAAAAATAAATTAAAGCCTCTCTTTGGGTGTCCTGATCAATTTTGATATACAACACTCTAAACAGGAGTCTTGGCTGCCTGGGATGTGCAGCATTTAAAGGACCAATTAAACTTACAAAACTCTGGCAAAGTTTCCCATCAGCGTTATTACTTCCACTTTGTTACCCTGTATTTTGTACTGTTCCTTGTGCTTTATCTGTTGTAGGTCTGTTTCTCATGCTAATTAAGGTAAGTTTATTTCTTGATGTGTGGAAGTATTTATTAGTGTATCAACTGGAGGGCTGATGTGCCAATGACTTTGCTCCATCCGTTTCTTCTTGGCTGGGCCACTACACCAGGGGTACAAGTGGTGGACAGGACATGGCTTCTGTCCTGCTAGCTTGCATCCACAGGTGGACCAGTCCCATTTAAGACCGCAGGAACTATTTTCAGCTGTTTTCAGCTGAATTTGCTTCTACACCTACGTGAGTAGCATCATGTGCTGTCCTAATGCACAGAGAGATAACTAATATTGTTGTCTCACTTTCTTGTGGCTAATCCTCAATCAAAAAAGCTGCTGAAAGTGGATGAAATGTTCTTTTTCACTATTGGCTGCAATAGGAAATAGGGGTTTGAAGAGATCAGTTCAGTGGAAACACTTCTTTTGTAGTCAGAATTGATTTGGAATGACAATTTAAGCGAGAGAGATTTTGGCACGGCACTGTTCACATTCATACCGATCTCATAAGCTACAAGGAGAGAAGTGTGCAGTGGTTTGGTTTTTTCTTTTCTTGTAGGAAGATCACCTTGCTTTACTTTCTTAATATAACCTGGGGCTACTGCAGAGTGGATGAGGCTTTGGCTGTAACATTAATATCCACACAGTGTTAACGATCCGGTTGTGCATGGTGAATCCCTCATTTGGTGCTACAGCCTTTGTAGATTATGCTGCTGGTTGATGTTGCCTTCCCTGTGGGAATCAAAGCACCCACTCCTTTTCACTTGTGGTGAGGAAATGAATATCCTATTCATGTAGTTGTATATTGCTTTTAATTGGTTTAGTATTAAACTATCAACTGCTTTAATGAAATGTTGTGGGGAAGGTAATTTCAAGGAGGCAGTTTGTCTCTGGACAATTGGAGTGTTTATTTTCATGTTATTGAATCACACAAGGGAATATCTCATAGAAAACCGTATTTTCGGAGAAATTAATCACCCCTTAATAAAACAATGAACATTTTTCCTAAATAAAATGGCTGACAAAATGGTGCCACCAACTTGGTGGTAACACATCTGCCCAATAAGAAAAGAGGATAAATATTTGTGAATTGCACACCAAAGGCAATCAGGGAGAACTGGTAGCACTAGACACACAAATAATATTTTATTAACTTTATCAGCCCATTTATTAACTTCTTAGAAAGGGGCAGAAAGCCCCTGGAGGTGGAAGTCTCTCTTTGTAGTCATGTTCCCCTGAACATTGGGGTAGGGGGCCAAATTGAAATGGCTCTGCCAACTGCTGTGGAGCTGTGCTGACAGGGGTGGCCTCTGTTGTCCTCACCTAATGACGGTGTTGATGTGGAAGTGCCACATCCATGTGCTTGGTGAGTTCTGCAGCTGCCAGTCTGGATGGGACAGGAAGACGCTGCAGTACTGTGAGTGATGGTGAATAATGCAGTGCTGTCCCAGGATTTTTCCTCTCTGTACCTCTCAGGAAGGGAATATGTTCTTTTCCTCAAATATGGGTGGAACAATAAAAAGCTGCAGCTTTTCACACATTAGATCATATTTAAAAATAAGATTTCTACCCATGCATCTGAAAAAAAAATATTACACCTGTATAACTTGGAAAGGTGCATTTCATCAGAGCAATGTCGGTGGAATTTTTGTTTCATAACCAGCTCCCAGTATATGAAGCTGTTGCGGTCTGACCCAAAACACATTTCTTTTTCTTTCTGGCAACATTTTGTTTCGAAAAGGAAACTCTTTTAGGTTGACAATCGAATTTTCTGAAGCAAACAATTTTGTTTAAAAATGCTAATGGAATTTTACACTTCTAAGATTTTTCTCCATTTTCTACTGCAACTAATTGTGGGGCTGGACTGAGTAATTTCCAAAAGGACATGCACATCAGCTGATAAGATATTGAACAGTAAACAAAGGAAATTTGTGCAGCTGAATACACAGGTAGGTATGTAACATTGCTTTGATGCCAAAGCTCCCCTTAAGGAGGGTGTAGATAGGCTGGGGTGGGGCAGGTGAAGAGAAGGTAAAAAATGGAGAGAGGGATCAAGATTCCATGGAACTCTGGTAAGTCTGGAACTAATGATTGGGCAGGGTGACATGTAGGGAGGGAATCAGAGCCCGGCTGGAGAAATCACAGATCTCCATGAATTCAGTGTGGCAAATACATGACTGCTATGAACACCTAGCTGACAGCACATTCTCCGTGGATCAGTGCACTGGCTTTGACTGTGACACTTGCATGTGTCAGGTCTGGGGGTGTCAGGTCATATCATGAAGGGGTGAAAAAAAACACCATTAGGGAGAATCCAGTTTAAGTGACTCACCTGATACTGTTTCAAAACTCAGCAAAGCAAGCAGGCACTGACAAATCCTGTTCATCTCTGGCCAGGCTTGTATGCCCTCAGCTGCATTGGTGTCAGTGAATCCACACTGAGGAGGAAGATCATTAGGATTCAGGATCACTGAAGATCTGGCAGACTGTACATACTCAAAGGTGTGAAGCCCCATCATTATGCTGAGGATGCTTCTTGGGCACTATGTGGGTGGTGACTGCCTCTGCTACAGCATTTTGTGTCATCCTCTTGCTTCTCCCATTGATTTGATATATCCAGACATTATTGTGTTATTTCCCAGGCAAGGTGTAGGTTGCATAGCAAAAGAGTGCTTCTTCAACTGCACTTTGCTTTGGGTTTGATAGCCTGTCACTGACTCCTGCTGGGAAGAGGGAGTAGAGTGGTTTAGAGAGTTGCCATCAAGAAAGAAATCAGTGATTGCATTATTCCCCTTCAAACCATGCTTCATATCCCCTAGCCAGCTGCTGTTGCCTAACTGGGTCCAGACGGTTTCAGCTCAGCTTGATGTTTTTTCCTAGCTTGCATTTATAATGCCGTCAGCCAATGAAGCAGCCAACTGTTGTGATTGGGTAGTGTTACTGTCATTATCTTCTTCTGCTCGGCATGTGTGGTGGTTATGTTTTATCTCAAGTTAAATTAGTACATTTCTTAGGGTTTTTCGCTCTGCATTTGTAATGGGTTGTTGCAATTGTGCTCTATTTCTGTCCACAGCCTGATTGTCCATAAAGTATAGCCACGGTGGGAGAGATAGGAAAGGCAACAAGTTAGTACTGATTTGCTGTACTGACCTCTCCTTGGAAAGCAGGGACCAGGTTCAAGCTGCAGTAAGCAGGAGGTGACCTGGCGAGGAGGAGCTACTTGCAAGTTGAGATGGAGAAGGGACTGATTTCATTTGAGTTTTGAAAAAGGTGTGTGCTTTGTGGCTTTACTCTAACCATCTCCCTCCTGTGGCTTCCTTCCACTAATGGGGTCTCTTGCTGACACACACAATAGTGGGTGAGATGAGGGTCTTGTACACACCTTCTTAATTTGGATCAGGAATCCCTCTCCCCTCATTTCTCTTCTCCCTCTGGGGGAGCAATGAGAAGTCAGATTTCTTCTATAACAACACAGATGTGAAAATGATTCTGCCTTTCTCTTTACAAGCAACAAGTGAAGGAACATACAAGAACATGGAAAAGGGTGTGAACTACAGCACCCTGTTTATCTGGCTCTGAGCCATCCTGCTGCAGTGATCTCAAATCAAGGAACACATTTTCTTGATTATGGCCTTGTTAATTCTTTATTTGGCATTTATTAAAACTCTAAACTGTACTTATAAGATACACAGTGATTAATGATCACTCATTAGGGTCCAAGGAATTTTGTGGGATCATTCAGTTACTATTGGCAGAAGTGGCGGAAGTGGCAGAAGTAGCAGAAATTTATCTTTTCACCAGTGTCCCAGTACAAACAGCAAGAGTATTTTTGGACCATGCGGGGGTTACATCAAGTAAGGAATTTTAGGGCAAAGGTGTGAAGCACATGGCTGCTTCTACTTCCTATATGGACCATGCAACTATATCAAGGCTTGCCTAAGCAGACCATATCACTTTTTGCATGTTGCTGTAGCTCCTTTTGTGGCTTAATCCTGCTTAGTGTTGCACAGCTAGAGAGCTTACACCATGCAATCAGCGCTGTAATAGCTCTGTTATTCAAGCTGTGGCCCTTTATTGTGCACAGATAGGAGATATCCTTACAGGAGAGTGCTTACAAGGTGCTCTGCCACAGGAATGTGCCTTTTCTTTTCAGAGATGAAGTGGGCTGCTGATTTTGTTTGTATTACCCTGCTGAGTGCTGCAGGACAGCTATTGTATCACCCCTCATTCATTTCACCCTGTCTCTTCCCTGAAGAAGGGCACAGAGTTTTAAATGCAGATGTGTGTGGAGGCAGTGCCAGGGAAAACATTTCTCAAAGTTATCTAGGAAAATTAGAGGTGAGACAGGACAGATATACTGTGCAC